GGGGAAAATCTTTTTAGTAGGGCCAGCTGTGACAGGACAAGGGGTAATGGCTTTAAACTAAACCAGGGTAGGTTTAGACTGGATATAAGGAAGAAATTCTTTACAATGAGGGTGGTGAAACAGTGGAACAGGTTGCCCAGAAAGGTAGTAGAGGCCCCATCCCTGGAAACATTCAAGGCCAGGTTGGACGGGGCTCTGAGCAACCTAATCTAGTTAGCATTGTCCCTGCTCACTGCAGGGGGGTTGGACTAGATGACCTCTAGGGGTCCCTTCCAAACCAAAATATTCTATGACTCTATTCTATGAAGTGTCTCCTTACACAGCCAACAGAAGGGAGTCTGAACTAAAGAAAGATGTCAGGCAAGATGGGACCTTCTGCCGCATGTCCTTCATAGTCGCCACTTTCTCTCCACAAGACACTGAGGCAGAACAGATTTCTCCCCTCTCCCACTCTTTGATGTTTAAAAATTCCACCGAGTCATGACTTCAGTGTGACGCTTAAAAGTAATTGGATTCCATCCCAGCTCTCCCATTTTGTCTGCATCTTTCTGAAGAGGAACAAGGATTCAACTTTAATAAGTAGAACATCCTGGATACCACTAGAAGTGGGCAGGCAGGATGTAAAGCTTTTTTTTTTTTAAAGCCCAAGTATGAAACAAACTGGAAAATGCCTTTATTTTCTAGATTTATAGTAAAAAGGTGTATAGTATAAATGCACTTAATGATGACTGGCAAAACAAAGTATAAAAATGGCCACTGTGAATCACATTAAAGTTCCAGTCAGACTTGACTACAGAGCAGTACAAGAGGAAAGACAGTGACATGTCTTCATTTTACAGCCTCCCAATTCCTAGCAATCTGTAGTTAAAGCAGCTTCCTAAGCCAAATGTCATATCTATCTTCTATATATCTTGACAGGCTTTTCTTTTGTCACTTTGCAGGACTACATTTTGAACACATTTATATTTTTAATCTTGCTGCCTCGTGACAATGAGTTATGAAGTTTCATTATGTACTGACTGAAAATTATTTACCTTTTAGCTTCCAGAATTTTCTTATTACAAGCAATCATTAATATTTGTTCACCATTCATCTTCCCTGTCACCTGTGATTGTATAGATTTTTGTTCTACCTCAAGCATCTCCCTGCACAGAAATACTTCCATAGGCTTGACCATCTATGTCACACTTCCTTGTATTTTCATTATGTCCTTTCTGAGATGAAGATATCATAGCTGCATACATAGACACACACATTTACTACATGTTTATACAGCAGTGTAATGCTTTTTCTTTTGCTATTTATTCCTTTCCTAACAACTTCTAAGGCTCCGTGGGTCTTTGACCACAAGTTTATGAACTTTCTGTGATGGTCTTTGTAAAAAGTCACCAGGACTTATCATTCAGTTATACTGTATTTTTGTTTTATTTTGTTTTTCTTTTTTTTTTTTTTTTTTCTTAATTCCCATCTTTAAATTACTGATTCCAATATTTCAAATCTTATTGCATCTTCCCTTAATGATTTAAAGGTAAACAAGACTTGGAAAAATCACCACATATTGGTATGTAAGAAAAATTTTCTTTCATTAATTAAAAATATCTCTAAAACAGTCAGTATTACATGAAGATTTAATATATACTAGATTTACTTTGAGTAAAGAAAAACAATAAAGCTAGCTTATCAGCAAAAAGAGGACAATCCTTGTACTGTTACCTCTTTACAGTCTTTTACAATTGGCTGCATCATGGTAAGGTCCTGATGACTGCCACCCATAGCACTGCTTGTACTCTTGTTTCTTGCATGGCCCTTCTTGAAAGGAGTTTTTCCAGTAGACTGAAACTCCTTAGTTGGAGATGTCGGTGAAGTAGACAGTACTAGTGTTTTCAATGCTGCTACTTCAGCCTGGAGGACATCAATCTTGGGGTATGAAGGGGGAATAAAGTCATTAAACAAAATATCATATTAGGCTATGAATATGTTAAACCATTTAATAAAATTTCCAGTTATGTTGGTTCAAATAAAGACTTCATCTTCCAACAGTACTAACGCACAGATACCTATAAAATTGCATGCTGTAGTAACACTGGCTTCCTATGTACCTTGCTAGCTATTTGATGTGATGCTGAAACACTAGCTCTGTGCTCATAGGTGTTAACTAAGAATGTCAAGATGACACAAAACAACTTAGTATGTATTTTAATAATGCATACAGGTAATGCTCTATTTACATCTTTATGATTCACACTTTAGATTTATAACTATGTGAAAAGCCAAAGCAAGTCAGAAAAAACTCACCTTTCCCTGTGCTTCTTTTAACTGTTTTTCTGCTGCAGCTTGTTTGACATTAGCTTCTTTAACCATTTTGTGTGCTTCCTATAAAAAAATGTTTAGCTGGTAAATGCTTCACACAAATTTACAAGATCCAGTAAAAAAAAAAAAACCTAAGGATATACTTTTGCTTCATGATGACTACTTGTTAATAGAAAGTTGTGCAACAATCTGAAATTAAACAGTTGCATACTAAAAAATACCTACAAATCTATCATTTGGATTCATCACTGGCCCACCAAGTTTCTCCTGCTTGGTTCTGAGCCCAGATTCAGAAATCCAGCAACTCCACCCATGCCCCACCAGCAGGAACGATACCTGTCATGGACGCCAGGCTCCAGTCACGCTTCGGTGGCTGACAAGTCAAGTTCCTTGACCCCCAAGAGAAAGACTCAACCAGTAGCAACAAAAGCAACATAAGCACAGCGGCACATTCAAAAGAACTTCTCCCTTCTTCTAGCCAGAATAACCAGTTATAGTCAGCTGTAAATTTCTGCATGAAGGAACTGGTCAAACAACTACGAAATCAAATTCTTATCATCAATAAAACAGACAAAGCAACAGCTTAAAATAGTTCATGGATTAAAGTATTTTACGGATTAATAAACATTTGTAAGTAGAACAGAAAAAGCACTAAAAACCAATTCAAGTAAAGAAACAAGGGTAAGCCAATAAAAAAGAAAGCGTAAAAGGACTGGGAATTTTTTAAACATCCTTTTACCTGCATAATGCATTTTACCTTTTGTCTGCATAATATATTTGTTTAGGCTCTGATCCAGCAATCTGCACCTGTGATCAAATTACTGTTCTTACTTGGTACTTACTAAAGGCAACAAAGATTGAAAGATCAGGGCCACCCACTAAATTACCTGGAATAGGTTCTTTCTCATATCTGTAAAGCGCCTAGCACGTTATCTGGACGCTATATAAATATAAAACAAGTTCATACATCGTCATACCAAAAGATCTGGCTCCCACCGGCATACAACACAGCTGTATAATATGGGTTTGTAAAATTCTCTTAAGTAACAACAGACACATGCAGGAATGAGAACATACACATTTATACAATGTGTACAAACACATTTAACATTGACCATGCAGTTTCTGCTTAGCGATGCACCTTTGAAAGCAAAGCATGTTACAGTGCAATAATGTAATATATACACCCAGCTGTGCAAAACAAGTCTCAATCCTCCATTGGGATGCATTAATGTAAGCTTCAGCATATCCACTTATACGGTCACTGAGATTAGTAGGATTCAGAGTGGAACATGGATTCAAGGGCTATAGATCCCAGCACAAAATCAGGAAACCTCAGCACTGTGTTTTGTTAGGGCCTCTTAGTGAAATCATATCACAAAAGAAAATACAAGTGACATGCCCACAACAGTTGGGAGTTCTGAATAATTAAAACTCACAGTTATTACTAATATACTATATTTCAAACATAGCTTTAACAAATTGATAACATTGTTCTAAGTTATAAAGTGTCATTAATATAAAATTTCACTAATAATTTTATTCTTATTCCTCTACAGTTATAATACCTGTCCCACATTCCCTGCCCCCCCAACACACACAAGTATTCATACTAAAAAGTACCTTTCCAGCCTCCCATTTATTCTCTACACAGAGGATCTGCTGAATATTTTAAGTAACTTTGCTCTACCGGGATGATGAAATACAATGCACTGCCAACCCACAGAGTGGTTTGTAATTTGATTTTTGAATGTCAGTATTTTCAAGGTTTTAATAGTGCTTTTGTACCAATACAACATCATTGGTTTAAATACCATTTCTAAAACATACTAATATTGTATCTTTGTACAGATGCTGAAACCCAATACTTACGATTTGGTAAACATAGTAAATTTCATAATCTGGAGGTGATTTATCTGAGAGTTATGAGTATCACAGTTTAGCCTCTAGGCATTCCTATATATATTCCTCTGATAAAATGAGAACTGATCCTGCTTCAACTATGGATTTACGATTTTCTTCTATGTAATAGAAGTGCACAATCTTTGCTGACACTACTGCCTTTTTCTCGAGTGAAAAGGTCCCACTTAAAGTTGAGGCTTTTCACTTGGTCACCAGGTTCCACCCTGGTGCATCACTCAATGTTTCTTTTCAAGTTTGTGGGAGTAGCATGCTGCCAGACCCAAAATTCAAAAGCTGAAAGCATAGTTATGTACTTGCTACCTCCATTGATCTGGAACTACATTATTATTTTTTTTATTTAGTCACCATGGCAACCCCAAATTTAGCTCTTATCTAGATAGCCTTGTTGTCAGACAGAGAAGCTGTCTCAAAATAGTTATGCCAAAAAATAAGCCTAAATACTTTTAAGCTTTCCGATATATTTTTCTTATTTTCTTCATTTTGTGCCTAGGCAGACTGACAAGCTCAAAAAGGTCTCTTTCATTTAAGTGAAAAGTCTACTGCTTGCTCTTAAGCCTTTACATCAACACACCCGGGTCTTGAGGACAAAAATCCCTTTATAAGCTCATTGCAAAGAATTTCAGCATACAATATACTGATTCTACATAAAACATCTGGCTCAGCTTCCTTTAAGTATATCACATCGAAGACTCCAACAAACCTCAAACAGACTAGCTGTAAGTTCTTCCAACTCCTGTCCAAGTTGATCTCGCACTTTAGAAAGCCTTTCACATTCTTCATCTTTTAACTTCAGCTCCTATGGAAAATTGAAAGTTATTTATTCTGACTTAGAGTAGCAATTTGGCCTTTTAAAGCTAAAACCAGAGAGAGGGGGGAGAAAAAGAAAAAATCAGAGGAACATAAAACCTTTGCTAAACAAAGCCTTTTAAAATATTAATCTTAACACTAGAAGTAATTAATGCTGCACATACATACAGCTATTCTTCCTGCTATACAGCAATATACCAGGCCAATCTAAAGTATCTCTAACCTAGACATCAGCATTTCCAAAAGTCTCTGGAAGTAAAAAAAGCTTTTTTTCCTTTAAGTGTAGAAGACTAAAGTCACTTAAATTATAGAACAAATTAATTATTGGGACAGACAGAATACCAGTTCTGTTTACCCATTTCTTAATAGACACTTAAAGAAACTAATCCTTTAAAGAAAAAAAAAATTCGAAAAAGCTTTTTCCTCAAGACAGTCCCCAATTCTAAAAGAATCTTGAAGCATATTTTAATATAAATATTGTCTCCTGCATATCTGCTTACAAACTAATACAGTGATTCCAAAATCATAGTGCAATTATATCTTTGCTCTTGTTTATGCAGATATAAATCAAATTAAAGGAACTTAATGAAATCCAAGATGTTATTTATCTACACCACTAAAATTTGAGTGAGGAAGGCCTGACCACATCACTTTTACAGTAAGATTTTAACACAGATCTGGCAGCATAAGCATTACACATGCCCAATCTCATCTGTATTATCCTAAGTACTAAGAGGGAAAAGTGGGGTAATCTGCAGAGAAGTACAAAAAGGTTGACAAGGAATTTGAAAGAAGAGTTCCTCTCCCCTTCCCCAACTAAACTCTGGAATCTCTTGCAAGAAAGAGAATGATGGAGATAGAAAGTAAGGGAAAGAAAAGCAGCAGACAGCCCGCTCTGACTTTTCAAGCATTTTTTTTTTTGCCATAATCCCCCTCCAATCCCTATCTAGTTCTTCCTTCTCTTCTTTTCCCCCGCCAAGCTAGTTATTACACTACCATTGCTCCTGAAATGCAGGACCCAAGCCTGCCACTGACATGTTAAAGACTCCAAATACAATCTAGCAATGATTTGCTTTGAAAACGTCCAGAAACCAGTTAAATCCTCATTGTTGTACACAATGATGCGGGAAACTACATCTTGCCTTGCAGCATGCTGACATTAGGTCTCACCCTCAATTTCTGCAGTGAAACTGGCAATAGATTTTCCTCTAAGATGAAGTGTCCTGTTTGACTTCAGCTCCTAAATTCAACAAGTGTTTCAGGACTACTCTAAACTCATTTAGTATCAAAGGCATTGCCTCTCCCTTTTGGAAATGAAAGATTCTCATGCAAAATCCTAAGGCTCAAATTTCATGTGTTCCTATACATGCAGAGAATATATCAATACATTTCCTTTGGCGTACTTCACTGATTTGTATGGAAAATGCTACATACACATCAGTACAACTTAAAAGGGTGTTATATTAACATTAAGGTCAAGAGTTTTCAAACTCACAATGAAGGTAGAACTACCCCGGGTTCACTTTTGGGCTACTACTATCAACATGCGCTTTAAAGTAAGATGGTTACAGTTTTGCCTGCAACTGGAAAGATTAGGGGGAGGCAGATTAAAATTCAGGCAGACAAGTACAGCTACTTAATGAAAACAGAAAGTAGACAACATCAGGCAGTCTACTACACATGGCTGCTTAGCTAGATTTGTCAAACACTGGGCAAGTTTCCATTACATGATTCAGGAAGAGCATAATATAACACATTATTTTGCCAAACAAGTTTAGTAGCTCAGGTTTTCTAAGCAGGGCAGAAATAAAGAGTGCCCAAAGCAAAAAGCTTAGCAGTTATTAGGCACATTACTACTGCCTGTGTCTTAAAGGCATTGCTGGAGACTTCCCAGCCATACACAATACAGAGGCAGAAAAGAAAACTGCATATGTTAGACTGATCACCCATGCCAGAGTCCTTCCCACATTATGGTTCAGAAAACGTAACTACATAAAGGTGAGCTATTATAAAGCACACACACAGTTATTGAAGTAGGTAATAGAAAAAAAGTTTAAATTGCATGAAAAAAAAATAACATTAAAAAAAATCCTGTATCAAAGAATCGTACTATTGTTTATTTCCCTTTGATCTTCACAGACTACAAGGTAGGTCTTTAGAAAGAACCAGTAAGATAAGGAATGCAAATTACTGCTTCAAAACCATTCATATTTTAAATTCTAGACATCCCATATCCAGTTCAGCAATTTAACCAAGTCGGAACTAGATGCGAAGATCACAGAAAGAAGGAAGATTTTCTACAGATATCACCTCAAACCAGAACCGTGGGATACTGCTGAATTCTGAAGTTGTCAAAAAGGTTTGTTTTTACAATAGAATACATTTCTATCTTACTGGTCTTCACTCAGCACCCAAGTTAAACAAGCTACATAAAAATCAGTCCACTGCAAGCAGATTTACAAGGGTGTTCAACGTGAGAGAAGGTCCAGAATACCTTTGCAGAGATAAGAGCATTTCAGAAACTACTGAATTATCACCTTATGGTGTGGGTGAAGACACTTCTGTTTTGCTTGCAAGTAGCCTTCTACTTGCCTGAGAAAATTTCTATGCCTACGATACACTACAACAGCATCAGTCAGAGATGTGGAAACTGAAAACTTTCATTACTCAAAGACAGCAAGGAACTGCTAAACACTTTCGGAAAACCAACCCATCTTTAGCAATCACAAGCCATGGGCCTTACAATTCAACTGCAATTTTGTTTTAGAGAAGCTTGAAAGCATACTCTCCAGTGGAGTTCTGGGGTGGTATATTATTCTGGAGCAACCTCATTTTTATTGTTCATTAACATGTAAGCAAAGGACAATGTACTATAGAGTACTACTGGAATTCCTGGATAGTTATTGTGAATCTGCTTATTCATTAATCCATGCAGAGTTTTAAAAAGTCATGTTTTACTGTGGAAAAATAAATCACTGTATAAGCGTGGAAAAAAGTCTCAATTTCACTCTAGTGGGGAAATAATTCAAATTTCTACTACAAAAAGTCAAACATGCTTTTTATTTGGTACCAACAAGCCTACAGATCTTACTCTAAAAACCGTGTGAAGCATGGAATTCATTCTCAAACTGAGTACGGTATTTGCAACCAACATCTCTGGTAGATCGCTCTTTCCTCATCAGAGAAGAGGGTTAACCATCGGTGACAGCTGATAATTTCAACACTCCAGGAAAGAACATATCAACAAAGAAAACTAAGTTTCTCTCTGCAGTCATGGATGACATCTTTATATTGACTGATTGATGAGGAAATAACTTCAGGGCCAGATCACACAAAAATTAGAGGAAAACATGACTATGAACTGCCACAGCTCAGAAACTACAACCGAGCTATCGAAAACACATGCAACATGCTGGTTACTTAAGATGAAAATCAAACAAAAAGTATCCCTTTTCAAGGACTCCACTAAACTTGCACATCAAGAAACACCACCTATCAAAATACCATCACTGTTCTCTCAGATGTTATCTACATGTGGTTGATCTACCTTCAGTAACCACAGTGAGACAGCTCAATCCAAACATGGCAGAAAAAATGCAAACTCAGAGAGACACGAGGAGGTAAGGTCCCAGGCACTGAATCACTAAGCCTTTTAACACCTTCTCAATTTTCCTGATGCTGCTTTAAAAGGGTAGCAAAACAAGGAGTAAGGTTCAGATCATCTAAAGCAAGGGCTCTTCAGCTCTACTTTACAGAATATAGCCAGAAATTAAGACTTCAGCAAAAAAAAAGCAAAAATTACCTGAATGGTGTCAACAAGAAGTGAAAAATTTATGCAATTTTAATTAAGGAGGCATTTTAAGGCAAAAGTATGTCCAATCTTATGTGCTTCATTAGTATAGAATGTTGCCCTGCTGTTACCTCTGACCCAACCTTTCTCCCAATCTTATGACACGATTTGGTGCTGCAACTGATCTAGATTGAAGTAGAAAGTATATTTCCTCTCACCAAGAAACAAATTTTGAAAGTTTTTTTGTTGGGTTTTTTTGGGGGTTTTTTTGGGGTTTTTTTTGGTTTTGTGTTTTTTTTTTGTGTTTTGTTTTTTTTTTTTTTTTTTTTTTTTTACACACAATTTTGCCAACAATACTGTTCATTTTAAAAGTGAAGCCTGGAGTCTTAGGAAACACAAGCCATACACAAAGGAGGAAAAAAAAATTATCTTTATTCTATTCCTGAATAATTTCTTCAAGAACCATACTTAAATGTCTAACAATTATATGCCCTACATATATTCTCTAATACAAAAACCTGAGAGCATATTAAGAAAAAAGTTGCACTCCAAGTAGAGACATGAAAAAAGTAGATGGTGTATCCCTAAGCTTCAAAATTCCTATTTCCTTTCTAATTCCTTTTCTGATCACCACTGCAGCAAATTCAAATCAATCTTTAATGCATATTACAATAGCATACAGTTTGGGTAAGAAATTTGGAACAAATGAAAAATGAAAGACAGCAAATTTGTGTTTACTTTGTTCACTCCTGGAAAGTCTGGAGCCTGTAAGGTTTCTAGGCTCAATGAGCTCACAAAATTCAAGTGCAAATTGTATTCCCATTCCTAATAAACAGCAACAGAGACTTACAGAGAATTTAGAAACATTCTGCAAAAAACAACCAGCTATACACAGGCACTACCTATTAATTATATCTCTACAGATTTTCAAACCAAATACTCATTGACAAAAGTGAATATACTTGGAAATAAAAGTTTCAAAACTGTATGTCATACTGAATATCACAGAGTGGGCACAGCCCTATGTGAACAGCCCTGACTTTTGGAAGAAATCAATCAGGGATAAATTAGGGATAGAAAAAAGTAGTCCTTACACAGGAAGTGGAAGAAAGTAGCTATTACTGAAGGAATACAGACTGTACAATAATAAAGCCTAAAGACTGCTATGACTCCCGTGTTACTGAGCAATTCTGAAACAGTACAAGTTTAGGAAGACAACCAGACAAAATAAGTTATCCATCCAGTGTAACACTGGTAAGAATAAGCCAGATGGGTTGAGAATTAGCAAGAACTTAGACATCAACAGTCTCAAGTTAGTGCTGAATTGCTTTTGTTAAGACCACCCAAAGGGTTTGAAAATACATAGCATGCAGTTAGTATGTCCCAGCAGCCTTAATGTTATTTCCTTAAAAATTACCTCAACAAATTTCAGAGTGAAATAGGAAACATTTCAATCTTTAAGAGACAAAGTGGTATACACTGGAATAAGATTTGTAGATTATTCCAAGGTAACAGTAGCAGATCCGAGTTGTGGTTTTCAAGTACGTTACCTGTGCTTTAGTATACGATCAGGAGCTGGAAGACCTTTGCTGAAGTTTAAACTTTAATTTTTCTAAGGTTCCAAATTTAACTGCTAGGATTATATATTCACATGCAAGGTCCTCAAACTTAGCTCAGGTTAATGTTTCCTTTCAGTGGTCAAATGCTAAGCAAACAAACACATTAGCAAAGGAAGCAACTACTCAGCAACAAAATAATCAGAAGAAGTGATGTCAGAATCCATATTTAAGATTCACATTAACAAGGGAAAATGCAACTATGACAAATTATGACTACATTCAACAAGATGAGGTAGCAAACAGAGGAAAACAAGTTCAAACACAAGATAAGATGAGCTTAAGTCTAAACAAGAATGGAATCATGTAGAGGAGAGGAAAGGGCACAGATACAAATAGCACAAAATCTACTCGGAAGTTTAAGCACAGAGGGATGTTAAAATGATAAACAACAGCTTTGCATTTATATAGCACCATCCATCCAAACAAGACAAAGCGCTTTACAAATATTAATGACTTGAGCCAGGGTGTCTTCAAAGGTATCCATATTCAATTTGAAGCGTGGTGTAACAGTACTCTAAAGAACACCAGTGACATCTTTATCGCTTCTTTCCTATGCAGGCATTCCCCTAGAAAGTATCACAAGTACTCCAGTTCTAAAGCATTTCTATACCCCATGACACATGCTACACTTTTATACTCTGGAAGAAAGAAGACTTGAGAGGTACATAATCAGCATCTATAAATACTTATACAGTAACAGTGGAACGACAGAAAACTATTCTTATTCTCAAATGTCAAAATGAAGGAATGGTCTACATTTCAAAGAAAAAGTATGTTTAATCAGATATTGCAACAAAAGCTTTCCATGGTTAAGTAGCAGCAAGCACTAGAAAAAAAACCTATCACGGAATAATTCTAAGACATTAGCACTGCACACATTCAGACTAATTTTACATAAAATAATTACATCCTAACAATTCTGTAAGAAATTAGTAGACTCAGACTGCACCTTCTAGCCCATCTATCGTTCTGCAATACTAGAAACACTTTGAAGAGAGAAAAAGCGGGAAGAGACAAGACAAGAAGCCTTACCCTCTGAGCTTTTGCAAGTTCTTCTTTCAATCTTTCATAGCCCTTTTCTCTTACTTCCAGTACAGATGGGCTCCGTAAGTGAGATAAACTGTCTGTACTCAACCCAAAAATATCTTCATTTCCTTCAGCAACATCTGCTACTGTGGCACCCTGCAAAAACTCTCTCTCTGCATTATTGCTCTCCTTTCTGGAATTATTGTGATTGAATGACCCACCCTGGGGTCCAGAGGTAGAACAAAGTACTGCGTCGGTAACATTGATGCTGTAAAGAGAATGATATGGTTTTTATTTATAAAATACTTTATGAAGAAATATTTTAGAAGAGGCAGTAGTGGTGTTGAATGTACCAATATGGACACTATTTAATATTACAACATTGTAAGTAATATTAAAATTATATCTTTAGTAAAGCAAGTGGTTTATATGCAACAAACATCAGCAATTTAAAGACACACAGAACTTACCTGACACCTGATGCTTCTCCACAATTCAGTTGTCTGGGAGATGAATAAACAGGTTGTGTGGGAAGGTCAGAAACATTTAATGCATTGGGCTGGATTGGTGTGGAGGACACAACAGAAGGATGTGGTCGGTAGATAACACTGGGTGAGGTAGTTTGTTCCTGAGTCCCTGGCTCATTTACTCCCAGAAGATCTGGCGTAGTAGGCGAAGCAAGGTTCACTTCATGAAAGCCTTCCAAGGGGTCACTGGCCATAATAAAAGCCTCATCATACGAAACCCTGAATTAAATAATCACATTATCAGAATGGAAACAGGAAATATTTCATTATATCTGACAACTATTTGAATTAAAAAAACACCCAGACAATTATGTTCAGAATACTTCGTGATATAATGGAAACTGTGGACCAATCTTGCAAAAGCATCAACTTCAACCACCAAAAATGTTTTTAACACACATTGGACTGTCGAGTCCAGAAGATCTAATAGTGAACTCCACATCTAAGTGGAATGACGAAATCAAGAACACAGTCTATAACATAAAAAAAGTCATCATTAATACAGCCTAGACCTGTTTAGCATCAAAATACAAATATATTACATTCATGAAAGACAAGGAGACCTTGGAACCAGTAAGAAAAAAATAAAAACATGTTAGGAACTAAAGCTTCCACTTTTAATCTCAATGAAGCAAATAATCTAGAGACAGAAATCAGTGAACCTTTAAATAAATTACAGTCCAAAGCAGTTTTGGTTAATTTACACACCTGACCTTCTCACAGTTCACTGAAACGATAGAACTAGCCAGTAAGACTTCTCATGAAGTATGATGATGTGTATTTAACACGTCACATGATTAAGTGATGATGACAATTGCAAATGAGTATCATACCAAAACCTTATTACAGGTGAAAGTGTACTATGAGTTAGCAATTTAACTGGCAGTATCCTTTTTTTAATTCCATACGTTTTTCATAACTTCAACAGAAAACAAGTACAACACATGAACTTTACAAGCCCCATGAGAAAGCTCCTATTTTCCAGCAGTTTATCAGAGATCACAAAAATCTTTGCATGATTCAAAACTATAAGGTGGAAGTAGCATGGAGAAATTTGTGAAGGAATTACTTAGCAGTGATTATTCACTGCAAAAACCATTTTCCATGTCATACAAAAAAAAAAGACAAAATTAAGGCTTCACAAAGGTACTTAACATGCAAAAAAAGAAATGTAGCATCTAAATGAATTGCATTTTACAGAGAAATCTGCTTGGTTCTTACAAGTGAAAAGACAAGGCAGAGAGAAGATCTAGAAAGATGATGGTGACAGCCATGAAGAGATGATGTCATCTACTTACATGTACGTGCAGTTCATTATCTACTTCATAAAACACACAAAATACCGAGAATGGAACGCCCAAATTAGCATATGCAGTAGTGTTTTAGTTACATCAATACTTTTTGGTCATCTTAAACTCAAAGAGCACTGTTCAGAACTATTTTGCATCTCAAGGATTGTACTAGTGTGGATACATCAATGTTAAGTTGCTTTACCACATTATCAGGTACATGTGGAAGAAATTAATTTGTTCAGACAGCAAGAATATGTTATTTTTTCCCTGTCTCTGTTAATTGCTTTCACAAAAAAAAAAAAAAATAACCTCTGAGAAACTTTCTAGACTTAAGGCACATAAAGGACCTTACAGGAATAAAAGGGGAAGTTGTTTGGTTTGGGGTTTTTTTTCTGTTTTATGCAGAAATTTGTTTCATTTTGAACTATCAACAGCAGTTGCACAAACATGATTTACACAGAAAAACACTGTCACAGTTTTGGGTTTTGGAGCTTTTCTACCATAACAGAGATGAACAGCTTATCTTTGAGTTCAAGTAAGTTTGAAAAATATTCTTGTTTTCCCTATAGTTCTTCTTAACTATTATAAACATTCTAATTACATGCTCTACATGATGATAAAGCCTGTTGAGTCAACAAATTTCAATGAAGGGACTGCCAGAGCAAGAGGACATTTCTTCAAGGTTACATTTCAAAAGTGTTTTCAGCTCTACAGTGCAACTACTACATGTCATTGTTTTTACATTTAATAAGCTAAAATACTGCCATCTTGAAAAAATAAAATTGCAGAAACAGTCCTTCATCAGCCCAGCTGAAAAATATCCATCTCACCAGTCTCAAAGTCAGGCTCACATCTACACAAACACATTTGCTTTCATTGCTCCCACCACTCTCCTCTTTTTCAGCCACCAAGTAAGCCATACCCAATACTACTATACTGGCAATGCTGCCAAGATGTCTCTTCACATTCCTGATTCTTAGGATTTCAGTCTTCACAATTAACAGAAGATGCAGACTTCTGAAAAGGGATGTAGAAAGGCTGCCTGGATGCCTTGCCTTTTCTTTGCCTACAGCACCTAGGAAAGTGCATCGAAAACCACCCAACAGAAGCAAAGATTGAGAACATAGCTGAGAGCAAAACAGGAACAACTCTTCTGCCACGTCCTCCCTTCTGTTGCCTAGTTTCCATTTCAAGTTCGAAAGACACATTCATAGTTCCACTGAAACCTCACAACCTGATTCCCCTGAAACCTCACAACCTGATTCCCCTGAAACCTCACAACCTGACTCGATGTTCAGTACTTGATGGTACCACAGTGTTTTGCATCACCAGTACTACTGGTTGCTTTCAGTTGCATACCCCATTGGGCTGAAATTTTCTATGCAAGTTTTTTCTCTCCAAACTGATTTTAAAGAATACTACTTAGCCATTTCCAAGGAAAAAACTTATTTGTCACTTTTTAATGTGTTTTACTATTTCTGTACAAATCTTAGGGCTATCTGTTCGGAGCAAATGCTTCAAGTACATTAAGTAAGTGACAGGCTCAAAGATGAGCCATTCCATATCTTTATGATAATTTACACGAAATCAGCTACATTATGAAGTGCAGAAAGTCATGCTGGCTCACACAGAGGAAAATTATTAGAAGCCTGCTTATTATCTTCCAAGTGTTCAAATGCTTTTCTAGCTCCCCTTCTGGACCATCACATCAACCTACAAGAAACAAAGTAGTATGTTTGTAAAAAAAAAAAAAAAAACACACAAAAAAAACCAACCCCAACCCCAAAAAAGTCTATCCTACCTACATGCTCCTATTCCTATCAGAAATGTTCCACTTAACTCCTTTCCTATGGTTTTTCCTCCACCTAACCCACCTATACCCTGCAGTTGTTTTAATTGTAAAAAAAAAAAAAAAAAAAAAAAATTCTGGCATTTTATTTGCAAGGCTATAGCTCTGTTTATACATTAAATATCAATCTCAGCCTAAACAGACAAGAGGGACTTATAAGTAAATAAATCCATGCATGTCTTCTCAGTTATCAAAAACCAAGCTCTTTCTGATTCAGTAAGTTATACAAGTTATTCCTGGAAGAGCTGAAAATAAAGTCCCTCCGCTGAACTTTCCCCATAGCCTGTCAAATGGGCACTCATAAGCACACCATCTGTGTAAAACACTTCCCATTCACAACTTTTTCCTTTCCTAGCCTTACTTTTCACTTAGCAGTGAGCAGGCAGAAGCTGGGTACACCACCCATACAAGACAAAGAAGCCCATATTAAATATCTCCGTTTCAAGACTCGCCGACACCATTACGCTGTTACCAAGATGTCAGATGAACACACGTTATGCATTAATGAAACAACACGCACATGCAAAAAGCTAGGCGGTTCTAAAAATAAAAAGCTCTCTTTTGGGAAAGAACTCTTCAAAATAATGGTAAACAAAAAGAGGGGGAAAAAACACATTTAATCTCAGTGTAATTAAAGATTACAAGCTTGATTAAGGCTGGGCGGGGGGGTCATATTATTGACTAAGGCAGCAATGAACAGCCTTGCCATGAAGGAACATGAAGCACATGGTAAGCAGAGAGCTAAAGCTCTCTAGGAGCCAAACTGACAGTGTGTAAAAAAGCCACGGTATTGACACAGCACTCTTCAGTAGTAATTCTGCTACTGTGAATAAAAGCTGATAACCTGACATTTCAGGGCAGCACGCTTATTAAACAAAATCATGAATTTTCTTAATACTTTTTCTACCATACTAATATATGCTGAGAGCTTGGAATAACATTAGTGCCTACAAAATACTTAATTATTTTTGTCTTTGTTGATAGTATGCAATTTGGATGACATGCAAAATTCAAGTACTGTAATAAATCAGGATGAAACAACAAAATAAATTAATTTCCTTATACTTTCATCTGGAAACAATGCAAATTTGGTGGAAGCTGTCAAAATGTTGAAGCTTTTTATTACCTCTCCACTGCCACACTTGGCACTGCTGACTACCCACATAACTTCATGAGGAAACAATGTTCAAATCTGTTACTTTATCTAATATTAGACAAAAATGTACTAAAATGAAATCCATTTAACAACGCTCAGTTTAACATGTTTCTATAGCTCCTAATAGGAATCAAGAACTGTGAACATTTCCAACAGCAAATCAAAATGCTTAATCAAATTTTCCTCTTATTACTCTAAGAGGGGCTCAGCCACTTGTCTGAACCAAAGCAGTCAATAACTAAGTACTAAAAAGCTCCCTGAAAAGCAGTAATTTACTGTGGCTTGTTTTCTTCTGGGAAAAAAAAAAATGTATTGTTGAAAATCACCTATTACAAACTCTGGAGTTTGTCTTTCACAGATTGTTCAAAATTGTCATCTTCAGCCTGTCTTGCATTTAAAGGCAATCTCCTAATTGTTATAGCCCATTTAAAAGCAATGCCAGCACCAAACATCTCACACATCAAAAATCTCATTTTCAGCTTTAATAGTAAAGAGCACCATCACAACAGAACAGTTACCCGCTCAAGTGAAAAAAATTACATAAGGAAAAAGAAGTTGCTATTTCTAATTTCTAAACATTTTGATGAGAAGTAAATTCTACCAAAAAAGGTGCCTATTAGCTACAGTGTTTTAATCTTCACACAGCAGGCATTTCAAAATGTAATAAAGTCTCAAGGACTTCATTTATTAGACTCCAATGTCTGCTTCAGTTAATTTGGGATGGGACAGGCAAGTGGATTTTTTGTTGCAGTTCCTCAAAAGGACTGACATTAGCCCACCACTGGGCTTGCCGCCTTCTCTCAGTGGTTTTAAAAAAAAAGTTTTGAAGTATTTGGCATTATACAGTCTGGAATGTAATATGTTTTAAGCTCTACAGAACTACGTGGGGAATTAGAATAGCGGACTAATAAATAC